TGCCGGATGAGATCCGTCAGTTGACATCATTAGACAGCTTTAAAAAAGGTGTCAAGACAGAGCTCTTCCGGCAGGCCTTTCCAGATTGACCATCCCAGCCCAGGCTCCCTGATCCCCTCATTCCTCCCGTGGCCCCATCTTTAGTGATGGTTGAGGATCTCCAGAGGGACACCAGGGTTTTTAGTTTGTTTTAATTATGGTTTTATGTTTTGATATTGTGCTTTTAATTTGTTATACTGTTTAATACTTTCTTAAGGGGGGGAGGTATTATAATGTTTTAATGTTATATTTTACTCTTGTTATATTTTACTGTTGTCAACTGCCCGGATTGGTTCGTCACAGGGCGGTATACAAATTATTATTATTATTATTATTATTATTATTATTATTATTATTATTATTATTATTATAAGATATGACCAGGTCAGCTTACAGGGATGGCCTGTCTTCCATGTCAATAGTGCTGTGAATCTGCCCCAGGTTTTAAAGGAGCTATAGAAGAGGTTGAACCTAGGGTTTTTTTGGGGTGTGTGTGGATAGGGTTCAATAACTTACATTCTGGAATAAAACCCAGAGCAAATTTACCACACCCAGTGGTGTTACTACATGATCTGGTGGTGCAGCCCCCACTGGGTGACACCCTAGAAGAGGGGAGACACATGGTTGGGCCCTCCCCCATGTGCTGTTCCCAAGCCTCCTATGTGCCTCCATCCCCATATACACTGTCTCCGCATGCTCACCCTGATGCATACCACCCCTGGAAGCCCTGCTGCTGGAAGCCCCACCTCCAAAAGCCTCACCCCAGAAGCTCCATCTCCTAGAAGCCCCACACCCCACATCAGCTAACACCAGTTGCGGGGACACCACTGACTATACCACTAGCACAGAAGCTCCCTCTGCATCTATGTACAGCCCAATATAAAACAGACAATTCAAATGATCTTCTATAATAATTACTTTGAAAATAATTCAAAATTGAAAATGCATCCTTAAACACAGTTATGCTTTGCCACACTGCACAATGAATACAGTTTGATGCCCCTTTAACTGCCATGGCTCAATGGTATGGAATCCTGGGATTTGTAGTTTGGTGGGGTACCAGAGCAGAGAAGGCTGAATAGAGAAGGCTATCTAGATCTATTCAATTGTAATTGTTCCATATTCATGATTGCTACTTACAAATGTGACACTACAGCCATGATTGTAACATCCACCATTCAACTTTACATCAACCAGCCAACATTGGCTGCAAGGGGAAAGCAAGGTCCATTCTGTCAGAAATCAGAGGACAGGTGAATGATGTTTCCCTCAGGTTTGGGGGTGGGGGCAAGCCAGAAGCTATGCTGATGTGGAATAATGTCCTTTGTTTTTAAAATATCATGGGCTAGTCTGTGTATGTGTTGTTGGATTTTTAGTTGTTTCTGACTTATGGCGAGTTTCTTCTGAGGGGTTTTTCCATTGCCATCCTCTGAAGCTAAGGACTGTGACTTGCCCAAGGTCACCCAGTGGGTTTACATGGGATTCAAACCCTGGTCTTTAGAGTTCTAGTCCAACACTCAAACCACTACACCATGATGGCTCTCTTTAAAATACTCCTCATTCCAGTCAAATAGAATGTGATTCAGCCACATGCAATTCACAGGAGTCTGGGTTGCCCCTCACAATCTCCTAAAACTCCACAGAAAAAGACTTCATGGTTTTTACTGGAGTATCCACTGATATCTGCAGAAATGCACATTTTTGCACATGTGCCTGTCCATTGGCTTTGAATGCATTCATGGCTCTACATTTTCAGCAGAGGGAGAGTTAATAGATGTAAATAGATGCAAATTTGTGCAGGAAAGTGAAGGCTATTAACTGTCAATGTGAATGCGTGAAAATGTGCACCAATTCTCATAGTACATTTATGTGTTGACTAGCCCCTATGGATAAAATATTTCAAAAAAGCTGAAGTATGATCTGTTTCCTCCACACAGGAGCCAGGCAGAATAAATGTTGCAGTTGGCTGCTGAACTTGCATTCCTCTTCTTCCTCTTCTGGTTCAGAGGAGAGAAGCACAGAAGGTCACTCATAGCAATTAGAATTTCTAGAATACTGTTTCCATACGGGTCTCACAACATCAAGAGGCAATAGTTATTAAGGCCACTGAAGAGATCTTAATGTTGATTGGCTAGAATTGCCTACAGTGACATGGGTATTGGCCAAACTGCAAACTGCTTCTACAAGAACTGGAAGTGTCAAGTTGATGTAAAAGCAGATCTGAACTGGTAATAAGCAATGTGCTCTGTTGGAAGACATTTCTTATCTTTTCCGTAATCAGAAAATATACTAATTTTTTTTCATCAATTAGGCTGCAACTTGGAACTGTCATTGGACAATTAATCTCCAACAAGCTAACATTTCTATTGCAATGCAATGCCCTCCTTCCTTCTAACTATGTAGATCTTTAAATGGGAGAATTAATACCAATCTGAAGGAGTAGACCAGGCATTACAGTTGCCCTTCTGTTTTTGCGGACTTTTTTGGGTGGCAAACAGAGGGGGATGTGCCGCCATTCAATCCAATGGCACTTAAATATTGGTGACTTTCTGTTTTTGTGGGTGGTGGTGGTCCAGAATGGACCCCCTGCGAAAAAGGAGAGGCGACTGTATTTTTAATAACATAGTACCCTAGTAAAATGTTTAGACATAATGGTAATAAGTAACTTATACGGGGGGGGGCACTCTTGTCGGGTTGAAATATAATAATCAAAACACAAGCACAGGGTGACAAAACAAATGTATTCATCATCTAATAAAAACTAGAGAGGAAAAACAAAGAGAGCCTGCTTCCATGACAATACTTCTTATTATCTTGATATGCATATATGCCATTAAAAATCCACAACAACAAGGTTGAAGTACAATATTTCTTTAAATGTATTCAGTAATCATAAAGGTCACTGCATTATCCTCTCCTCCAAGAACAGACTTTGAGAGTCATATCTTAAATCAGTTTGCTTGCCACAGTGTTGTATATTGCATTCACATCCAACTGTTGTTCATGCAAGCAGATGTCAAGGCTACAGGATTTCTTTTAGTTGCAAAGCTACTATATGTTGAATTTCCTGGGCCATCCTTCTTCCATAGGTATCTGGACTAGGAGTATGTGGAAATTGGGACAAGCAGCTTCTCCAGACAAACCTCTGATAATTGACAGAATAAACATGCTGTTAAAAGATGTTGCTACAAAGCAAGAGCTAATTTGATTCTACAACATCCTTTTTGGCACATTGTAGAGCAACAACTTTCAGAATATTGTAGTGCAGCCTCAACCAACCTTAACATGTTACAGCCACTCCAGATAGTAATAATCATCCCTTTTAAAGACCCATGTTCCACAAAATACTGCAAATAGCACATGGTTTGTGCCTTTACTGTCTGACAAAAGTGGATTTAACATGGCATTCATGATGGAGGCTATATATCTTATCAGATATGAGATGCTGAATTATAGTTTTTGTGTGAGAATATCAAATGGGGTGAGCTCCTGTTATTAGTCCAAGCTTCTGCCAACCTAGCAGTTTGAAAGCATGCAAATGCAAGTAGATAAATAGGTATAACTTTGGTGGGAAGGTAAACATCATTCTGTGCAAATATGCTGGCCACATGATCACAGAGTAGTCTCTGACAATGCTGGCTCTTCAGCTTAGAAAGCACCACCCCCTATTGTCAGACACGACTTGACAACCTTGTCAATGGGGAATACTTTTACCTTTTTAAAAATCAAATATAGTCTTATATAAAAAAGCATGGGGACAAACTAGATCAAATGACAAATCTTTGATGGTTCTCAGGGTTTTTCAAACATCACTTTCTCTTCTGCTCAAAAAAGGAAAATATCTTGTGAAATTTTTGAACAAAAGCTGTTCTGTAAGTGTAATAATGCCATAAATCCTTAATGGGAGAAATGAGAAAGTCCATCCTTTCTTGATTATGCAAAACCCTCAGACCATGTATATAGGATTAACCTTACTTCCTCTAATGGGAGTATTTCAAAAGTGCTGGAGTGGCAAGGCCGGAGATAAGCAAATGGTTGAGAAAAAATGCAGATTAGAGTTTCTTTCTCTTTCTTTGGGTCATCCACCTCTTTGAAAATCTGATGAAAGCTAACATTCTTCTCCCTAGGAAAAAATATGCATAAATATATAAACACAAAATGCTATGTAAATTTTATTGCATTCAAAATTGGTTTCCTTTACAAAAGCTAGTCTTGAGTGATCAAAAATCATCCTATTCTGCAAAGCTTTGAGATGACACATCTTCCATTGAATTCTCCTGTTCTTCCATCTTTTTTTCTTACTACAAAATTATTATTATTATTATTATTAGTAGTAGTAGTAGTAGTAGTAGTAGTACTAGTAGTAGTAGTAGTAGTAGTAGTATTTCTTACCTGCTTCTCCCCATGAATCGAGGTGGGGGACAATGACAATTAACAAATAACATCAGTTAAAACTCATGTTCAAATACACACCAATTTAAAAGGACAAATAAAATATACACATATTAAAACAATTCACATCTGAAATTCAACAGTTAAAATTCATAATTTAAAAATCATCAGAATAAGCCTACTGGAAGAGACTGGTCAGTAATAATACTATTTACTTCTTATTTCTGTTAAGAAGAGAAAGACCTAACAACTGTACAATGTCTTTTGATTGTTATTGCTTATGAAACTGGGTGTCCAATGGAATCTAGATTTCCTTTCAGGACAATTTCTCTCATGTTCTTCTTAAACATCTCAGTTGGCATATTGTACAGGTTTTGATTACTTTTCCAGGTGGGAAATAAAGGCAATTTTATACAGTTTCAAGCTAAGGATTAAAAGACTAAAACATGGGGTGAGGTTAGCATATGGGTGAGAAAAGGCAGAAAGATAATTGAGGAAAGGTCTGGAATTATTCAGATTGCTTCATTTTTGTTTGTATTTTAATAGCTAGTGTCTGCTTCAGGTTTGGGGCAGATCTGGTCCCAATTTCTATTAGAATACAAAAAGGATGCAATGAAGCCAAGATAAAATTTTGGGGGATAGCTCATCAGTTTCAAAGTCTAAGGAAATAAGCATTTTTATTAGAACAAGCTAAGGCCTCTAACAATATTTGTAACTAAAAGAGAAACATGAGAGCCAATTGAGCATGAAATGTATGTTATGGCTGTTGTCACCCAACAGATGTAAGTATAGGCACCATGGGAAATTACAGAGTTTTAGCCTTTAATGGGAGCTTTTTATAAAGTAGCTTTAAGTTTGCCAGCTGGCATTGCCACTGAATGACTTTCACACTCTGTATTGAATTTCCTCTGTGTTAACTTCTGAACAAGCTTGCTTTTAGAGGAGACTTTGCAGGAGTGTTCAGATGCAGAAACCCATTAATGGACTCTTTGCTTCCAAACCAAATGCTAGAGATGAAGCCAAGATTCACATCTGGTGGCTACTAGAGTGTTTGCAACATTCTTTGAAGTTCAATGAATCTATAATGCTTAAGATAAAAGCAGACTTGAGAGGATGGAACAGGCTTGTGTGAATCTCTCTCTCTCTCTCCATCCCACCTCCCCTCAGCTTTTCTTTCACAACAGAAAATATTACTTCTCAGAGGAAATCCAGTATATAAAAGATAAAAGTCTGTTTGAAATGCTTTCCCCTTATTATTTCTTATGAAATTTCTTAACCTTTAAAATTATGCACAGGCCTCAAAATATATCCATTCAGATGGTTTTAATAGTGATGGGAATCATGTGGCCTTACAGCATTACCATTGACTATGCTAGCTAGGGCTGATACTTGATGCTATCCAACAATTCCCACCCCTGGTGTATGGGTAACAGACACACCACTTGCAATCATTTTTCCATGAACAGATTAAAGGATGCTCTTCTAATGCTAGTACAAGCTGCTGTGGACTTTCATACGGACACCACCATGAATACGCATAGCTGTTTTCTCACTACTCAGTCATAGCGCTATGATGCTATAGTTCCATCCTATGGAATCCTGTGATAACCATTTAGGAAGGGATATATAGAATTCTCAACTGGAGAGCTGCTCTAATGCCTCTGATGAAACTATAATTCCTAGGATTCCATAGGATGTAACAAGTGCAATGAAAATGGGATTACAGTACTATTAACTATGGGCCTTTGCAGACTGCTAGAAATAGTGCAAATTGAGTCCACTTTAATTGCCCTGGCTCAGTGCTAGGGAATCATGGGAATTGTATTTTTTTCTGAGATATTGAGCCTTCTCTGTCAGAGAGCTCTGGTGCCACAATAAACTACAGTTCCCATGATTTCCTAGCACTGAGTCAGGGCAGTTAAAGTGGACTCAATTTGCACTATTTCTGGCAGTCTTCAAAGGTTCTATTTGTTGTATGAAAGGACCTCAGGAACCCTGATCACATAGAATATCCCAATTGCTTGGAAGGAACTAAGTGAGCATATCCCTTCAGACCTTTCAGCTGACATGCAGAAACAGAGGGTAGAGGCCACAAGTGCTGTTCTTGAAAATGCAAGAAAAGATGGGCTCTTCTAAACTGCTCAAAAG